TGAAATGAAATTGTTTCATGCAAAAGCCCAGTCCCCTTTTGCTCCATTTTTATTTCCTATGGGAGGGGCCATTCACCGTCCACCTGTGGCTTTACTCCCAAGTCCACCCTGATTTCTTAGCTGTTCTTTTCTTCTGGCAGCTCTGCAAATGCACACATTGGGAACAGGCTCCAACTGTTCCTCTGCCTCACTGCTGTCTAGCTACGATGGCAACTGTGAACTGTCAGATGGCCCTGGCCCCATCTCTGCCTCTGACACAGAGCCCTCGTCCGAGCCTTCTCCAGCCTCCAGGGCTGTCCCATTTTCCTCCCCAACCTCCTGACTGTCCGAACCTGCTGCCAGTTCCGCTGGCTGCTGGTGAGCCACAACAAGAGCCTCCCATTTTTCCAAAAGAACTAGACATTATTTGTAAGCTGGAGAAAAACATGGGTAACTTTCCTAGAAATGGGAATTTTGAGATAGTCAGCCTTGTGAATAAATGGGAGGTTATTCTATTGAATCACAAATGTGATGGAAGAGTTGGACTTGAAACAGTTTTCTAGGACTCTGTGGCTCATAAACTTTGGTACTTACTGTATTTTTGGAGTATAAGACGCATTGGAGTATAAGACGCACCAAGGTTTTGAAGAGGCAATTTTTTAAAAAAAAGTTTTTGCACTCTGTAGACCTCTCCAAAACGGGTCATTTTTTGCAAAAACGGGCCAGTTTTTTTGTCAAAAAAGGGGCATGCATAGCCTTTAGGAAGCTTATAGAGTGCTCCTGGGGGCTGGGGGGGGCAAAATTGAGCAAAGAACTAGCCCATTTTTCTCTCATTTCTTCCCTCTCCAGGCCCCAGGAGCACTCAATACGCCTAAAGGCTATGCACGGCCATTTTGGTGAAGGGGGCAGGGTTTCAGGAGGCAGAAAATGCTGTATTCAGTGTATAAGACGCACCCAGATTTTCAGCCACTTTTTGAGGGAAAAAGGTGCATCTTATACTCCAAAAAATATGGTAATTACTTTTCTCTGTACTATGAAAATCTTCTACAACTATCAGTTGTATTGGCATACACAGAATACAAGTATTACTAATTTCCCAATTAAGGAAGCCCAATTTAAAGCTAATTCCAATTTGTACATTTTAATTATTTTTGCTAAAAGTCTTGATATTTGGCATGCATGCAGATGAAACAGTTGGCTGAGGATGCACAACAACAAGGGAAATGATATTATCTTTACAGTGGCTTTTCTGGAATATTGTGTGTTGCTGCCAGACAATAATATTATAAGACTCCTGATTGCATTTCCTTGGAATGGGGGGAAAAAAAGGTGTATGTTCTCTGGAGTCTTTTTCCCAATGGAAAAAGTGCCACTAACTTTTCTACATTGAAACGGCAATATTAACGGCTTTTAGTCCCTCAGATTCTTACATTTCATAGCTGTTGGAGCCACATTGATAATAAATAATGGCCAACCCAATTTTTTGCTAGTGAAGTTTGTGTCAGGAATATACTAAAACACATTAGGAAATTAGTGACTCTACCCCTAGCAATGAATGACAGCCTTTGTAAGCAGGTTCTTCATCCAAGCCAGATACTCTGGCACCTGTTTCTGTTCTTTCAAATGGATAGTGATGAAAGTGTGTGTGTGTAAAAGTAGAAACTTAAAAAACTTCATTTTTGTATTGGTGATCTCTCGGAAAGTTATGCAGTGAAAATTATTTCTGAAAGACAGGTCTTAAATTCATAGGAAATTATTTTGATAGCTAAATATGAATCACCATTTCATATGTTGTGTCTGCTTTCCTCACGTTTTGTGAAGACTGAGCCCTACAATCTTGGCAAAACTAGAAAAATCTTTTCAGACTGTTCACCACACTTTTGTATCCATTGTCTAAATTATTGTTCTACTGTGTTTTCCCAAAAATAAGAGTGTCTTATTTTCTTTTGATCCCTGAATTAAGCACTTGACCTTATTTTTGAGGAGGTCTTATTATTTTTGAGGTGCAGGAGATGGCAAGTGTGGTCACCTCATGACTGCTGCTGTGTTGCAATATTTTCAGGAAGGGCTTATTTTCGAGGAGGGCTTATTTTAGCACATGTGCTCAAAAACCCGATTGGGCTTATTATCTGAGGAGGTCTTATTTTCAGGGAAACAGGGTAAAGTGCTTTTTGAAAAGAAATGGTGATCCTTAGGGGAGAAAAAGGTCCACAGGAAAATATTTTGCCCCTGCCATCTATCTGCTGAGAATATGTGAGTCAAAGTTATTTTGAAGAAGTGTTCACACTTCAAACTGTGCAAGGGTTAAAAAGTAGTCAGCCTTCAGTGGATATGCAGTTTATTGATTTAAAGCTCTTGTAAATGATTGTTGGAAACTTCTCAGGTGTAACAATGTGTTCAGAAGGCATATCACAAGCACTGCTTGCTCTTAAGTAGGGATTTTATCTATCACCATCAGCAGCTTGATTTGAATTCCTAGAGGAACAGATAATTCATTGAATTGTCTGTCATGGAAAATGGGCAGCTTACCAATGTACATGAAAAAACAGAGGAAGCTAGGTTTTATGAAAATCCAAATTTAGGGGAAGGAGAATGTGAACAAGTCTCTAATCAGAGCAGTGGAGACTCAACCTCTCCTTCTTTAATTACCATGCTAGACATCATGGACATTAGATGTGAGAATAGCAACGAAATTAGCCATCAAAACTCTTGTTCCTCCCAGCATGGCTCTGAAAGGGGGGAAGAAACAGATTCTCTGCAAGATGATTTTGAGAAAAACCAATACAAAGATAGAGAGGACAGAGCTTTTGAAAGTGCAATGACTATGGAGAACATTTTCAAAACTTCAAGAAATACTCTCAGATTTCCTTTCAATGACAATTCAGAAGAAAACAACAATTTTCCAGAAGAAGAACATAAGATTTTCCTTGTTGTTAAGGTAAGTTCTTTTGCTATGCATGAATACAGTTATGGTTGTCTCAGATGCAACATAGCTTTTCCCTAACATTTGGAGAAAAGCAGTATCTTCAATATAGGACTGTATTTTTACTTTTCTGCTTAGTGGAGAATTAAACCACATTTTTGCATGTTTTTACCACTCCAGTAAGAAATATTGCACGTCTCATCCTTATCTAGTATCAAAGTGGATACAGTAGTTGCCCATAGCTAATGATAGCTTGCAATCCTACATCTGATTTTCAGAGAATAAGATTCACTGAGAAAGCATGCAAAAATTGGTGGAAAATATTTTGAATATTTTGTTGAGTTATTTAAGCTTCTTTCAGAATATTAAAATTTTGTGATACCTGTACAAGCTTCATATGCACTTTCAAGTCATTGCTGTGCTCTATCATAGCTTTTTCCTTGCCTGAGTTTGTTGAGAAAAGGACCATATTTTTCGGAGCATAAGACACATCTTTTTTCCTCAAAAAAGAGGCTGAAAATCTGGGTGCGTCTTATACAGCATTTTTTGCCTCCCGAAGCCCTACCCCCTTCACCAAAATGGCCGTGCATACCCTTATGAAGGCTTTCAGAGAGCTCCTGGGGGCTGGGGAGGCCAGAAATGTTAAAAAAATGGGCTGCTTTTTTTGCCCCCCCCAGCCCCCAGCAGCACTCTCTAAGCCTCCATAAGGCTATGTATGCAATTTTTTTTGACAAAAAACAGGCCCGTTTTTGTGAAAAATGGGCCATTTTTGGGAGGTTTGCAGAGTGCAAAAACTTTTTTTGGGGGGTGGGAAGCTCTTTAACTGATTGATGAGAATTACATTGATCAAGTGCCATGTCAGCAGAAACAAAGTCTTAGGTGCTGCAGATTGTCAGCGATTTCCTTCTGCAGTATATGGATAAATACACCTGGAAACATCTACCTACCTACCTACCTACTCTCCCTCCCCCTACCTATCTACTGTATTTCTCTCTCTCTCTATCCCTCTACCTACCTACCTACCTACTCTCCCTCCCCCTACCTATCTACTGTATTTCTCTCTCTCTCTATCCCTCTACCTACCTACCTACCTACTCTCCCTCCACCTACCTATCTACTGTATTTCTCTCTCTCTCTATCCCTCTACCTACCTACCTGCCTACCTACTCTCTCTACCTACCTATCTACTGTATTTCTCTCTCTCTTTCTATTTCTCTCTCCCTCTATCCCCCTACCTACCTACCTACCTACCTACCTACCTACCTACCTACCTACCTACCTAACTACTCTCTCTACCTACCTACCTATCTACTGTATTGCTCTTTCTTTCTTTCCCTCTCTATCCCTCTATCTACCTACCTACTTTAAAAAAAAAATGCCTCTTCAAAACCTTGGTGCGTCTCATACTCCGAAAAATACGGTGTATACTTGACAGTACTTAAGCCAATTTAGTGCTTTTTCCAACACTGTATGAAAGAGAAGGTGTGAATATCAGTTTTCCAATTTATTTTGAGTAGAAACAGAGCCTTGTTGCCATTCAGTTATTGCAGAGGAAGCATACAGAAGTTAAGGATATATATTTGTTGGTACTCACAGAGGAGAAAAGCAAAAGCCGTTTCCTTGATTGCATGCTCAGAAGTTAATCTATTTTACAAATTATGCAGAATGTGTTTTTGCAATTCTGCTTCTCTATACACAATTATGCTGGCTGCAATCTTGTAATCACTGTCCTTGGAGAAAGTAATTGAAATTAATGGAGTTTACTTCTCAGTAGAAATCCCTGGACTATATTTTAAATTACCTGGCTATACTTGCATGGTGTTAGAAAATATATTTTTCCCTATAGAACAGAGGTGTCAAACTCAAAACCTGGGGGACAGATCTGGGCCGTGGGGTGCTTAGATCTGGCCCGTTGTGGAAACAACAAAGGACCAGCCTGTGGTGCCTCTGACAGCGAAAACTAAGGTTGGGAGCCCATTTTCTCTGGCAGAGCACTTGGGCCCCACAGGCACCCCCGACATGAGTGACATCGAGCTGGTCATGCCCACCTTGGCCATGCCTCCTCCTTCTCGAGGTCAAAAGCAACCCTGATGCGTCCCTCAATGAAATTGACTTTGACATCCCTGCTATAGAATAATCTCCCACATGAGAAGTAATCTGGGTAGAGCTTTGGTAGATCTATGGGTTCTTATTCCATAATTTAAGATTGTAACTATGTTATCAGGTACAAGAAAAGGCAGAATTCATCTATTTCTAAATAGTGCAGAAAAAGGAATTTCAACAAGTTTACTTTTCACTATAAGACTGAGAAAAGTTAGTTGAAGTTCTATCACATTTTAAAATGTAATAGTGATTGCTAGCCTTCAATGTGCTACACTTCTATTATAAGTGGAAATGTTAATAGAATTAAAATATTAATCTTTTAATTAATCTAATCTGTTAATCTACACAATTTAATGAGGCTTTATGTTAGTGACATAAGGGAATAGTTTTTAAAAAAGATTTTTTTAGGAAAACATAACATTTTCTTTCCTTGGTGCACATTTGGTATTTTAATTCTGTAGGAATTGAGAACTGTAGAAATGAACTAATCAAGAAGAGAATCAGCTTACAATTAAGGATAAATTTCCTGACAGAACAATTAATAGGTTGAATGACTTGCCTCCAGAAGATGTGGATGCTCCAACACTGGAGGTTTTTAAGAAGAGATTGGACAATCATTTGTTTGAAACAGTATAAAGTTTCCTGCTTGAGCAAGTGGTTGGACTTTAAGATTTCCAAGGTTCCTAACAACTGCTATTTTGTTAAAGTTATAAATATTCTTACCAGTTGGTAGTAAAATATATTTTATTTCTGATATTTTAATAATTCAGAGTGCAACTGTATAAAATGTAGCTTTGTTTCAGTGGTGATAATAGTATTCAGGTTATTTATGAAGAAATAATCTGAACGAAACGTGATGTATAAGTACAGTATACACATGCTAATTTATAGACTCAGCTGTTGTTACACTTGTCAGTTTTATCAGGTCATTATCTGAAATTCATGTTTGTTGTGTGAATATACTTTTAAATGTTTCATTTATAGCAATTAACAAGTCAGTTTATTTTTCTTTAAACTGTAATGGATATAATATTTTATGGAAGGATTGGGGGAAAATTATATTTAAAAAGCTATTTAGCAGCACAGTTCTATTCCTACTTACTTTGGAAAGACTATGAGATAAAGACTGAATTCCATTCTGTACCTAGTATGGTACTGGTATCTCTATCATACCATTTCATTATTCAGAGCTTATTTGCAGATACTAGAAGACAAATAGAAACAAATAGTTTCTGAGTGCTTGAAACAAGTTTGAACTTGCTAAACATAAACAAAGGTTTCCATAGGTTATGTTTTAAATACAAAATGAAATGACTCCCAAATTAGAGTCTCTGTTCATGTATCATATTTCCATGATTTCATGAATAGGTAGAAGACACCTAATCCAATGTTTATTATGTAAAATAAGTTAACAATAGTTTATTGAACAAAATAATTTGCATATTAAATGGAGGTATCATATTGTTAATGATTGATTATTCAATTTTTCAAGGAGAAATAACACTCATATTCTGCTTACAAATATAAGAATAGAAGAATGTGCATTGTACTTCACACTACTCAATCCTATTTTGTTTAACTATCATTTATTGAACCATAATTGACCAATTCTCACAATATGCTAGACTAAAGTATGGTTTATGAGCAACAATCATTAGATTCACCTAAACAAATCACTTTATGACTTACTGTGTTTCTCCAAAAATAAGACGGACATTGAAAATAAGCCCTAGCCTGATTTTTATACGTGCACCTAATATAAGCCCTACCCAAAAATATGCTCTAGTGAAGGGGGTGGGCATGGCCAGCACAGGAGGCAGTGAGTAAATAGGAACCAACAGTGTGCGGCAGCAGCTGCAGCCTGTGCAGTTCAAGTGAGTTGATTACCTGTCCAAGCAGCAGGCAGAGACAGTGATGGGGCGAGACATGCGATCTGGATGTGCTGTGAGGATCACGGGAAAGCCAAGAGACAGTGGGCCGGAGTGGGCTGGTGGCTGCAAAAGGCTCGTCTTTGTGCGGCAGTACCAGCAACAGCAGTAGATGGAAGCAGAGGTATGAGGGGGGAAGGCAGGTGATCCCAATGTTCCGCACAAACTGCAGGCATGCCAAGAGACACAAAGATGAGATGCATGCCTTCCGCCCCATGCCTCTGTTGCCGTCCTCTGACAGTGCCACTACGTGAAGATGAGCCTCCTGTGACCACCCACCTGCTCCGGCACACTGTCTCTTGGCTTTCCTGTGGCCCATGTGGCGCATCCGGGTTTCATGCCTCCCACCTGTGCCTCTGTCACAGTCTGCTGCTTGGACAGGTAATCAATTTACCTGTGTTGCATGGGGTATGCACTGACCAAGGGGGAAATGGGCTGCAGCTGCTGCTGGACAATGTTGGCTCCCGTGTGCTTGCCACCTTTTGTTTGTGCACCAGGTGGGTGGGGCATCCAGTCCAGCTGATTATCCTGAAATCACGTTTCACCAAAAATAAGCCCCGGTACTTATTTTGGAGTCCCCCAAAATATAAGACCAGGTCTTATTTTTGAGCAAACATGGGTAGCTTAATGTCAGTACAATACATTTACAAGGCTTTATGTGTAAAATAGTATTAGTTCTCAATAGCTTTCCCATATCACCTTCACAGCAAAGAACCTTATTCACGAGAGGGAGCTGGGGGGCAGAGAGAGGCAAAGTAAAATGACTGAAATATTAAACTGTTGGATATTATATGAAATTACTATTGCATATTACAAGTTGTCAGAATAAGGATTGGGATTAAAATAATTTTAATGAACAAGCAAGTTTAAAAAGCCAGTGTGATATGATGATTAAGGGGATCTAAGTTCATCACAAGCCAGGGGCTTTTCCATCATTTTTGAGCCCAACCTACTCCACAGGATTGCTGAGGAAAGGGAAATTGA